AAACACTCTTAGAAGTTGGTGAGCTTTGCATCATTGTAACAAAAATACTTGATGAATTCAACCTATAGGAGGAAAGATTTACTTGTCTCAGTTTCTAAAGTTTCAGTCCATGGTTAAGTGGGTCCATTGCATTGTTCTGTGCTGAGGCAGAACATCACGGTAGGAAGCCTGTGGTAGAGGAGGTTTCTCATCTTAGAGTGGCCACAAAGCAAAGGGGATAACAGGGAGGGATAAGATGTGCCCCCAAGAGCATACCTTCGAAACCCTCATGACCCAGTCACTTTCAGAACATCTATCACCTGACAACTGAGTCTTTAGCACACTGCCTTTAGAGGACATTCTAGGTGTAGACAGTAGAAGAGGTCCTCAAGAACCATGGCATACTGTCATCATCCCCAAGTCGGGGATGCACACCGACAGCAAGCATCCTGAAGACACCCAGTGACCGCAGAGCTCCCACATAGGAAGAGCACTTTTCCCCTAGCACAGTAGATTTCTAGGTATCAGACATCCGTAATGTTCTCCACACTGTCTCTAAAACCATTTGTTGCTCATCTATCCAGATGCATGTGGAAGTTGCAGAACGTTAGAATGAGAAAGTAAACTTTTCAGAAGGTAAAATTAGAGTGCTAAAATATTGAGGAAGTTTATATCTCTGTTAAAAAGCTCACCATCATTGCAAAAGGCATTGTGTTTTGGTGAAGGACTCAGAGCCCAGGTTCTTGGCAGGTAAGATGGCAGTTTCCTCAGACTGAGGTGACCAGCATTGTGGGAATGTGTAGAAGTGATGGCTGTGCCGCCCTGTGTCTTGTATGAAAACTCCTCAACACCATTTGCAGATGGCTCTTTCATCTGCTGCTGCACATATGTAGAGAGGCTTGGGGTGCACTGTGACAGTGTACTTGGTTTTGCATAATTTGAGGCCCTGGGTCCCATCACAGCACCACAGGGAAAAAGAAAAAGAAGCAGACATGGTAGGTAGCATATGAGAACGTCCATTTCAAGGCAGATATGGAATGAGAACATTTTATTCCTATCTTCCTGCATTAGAATTCCTTTTGGTCTTTCTGGACTGAATGGATAATGTCCATCTTTATTCCTCCTGGAAGAATAATAAACAAAATAATAATAATAAACAAAATAACTTTTGTCATGGCTCAAAGCAGCAATAAAAGCTAAAACGAACCAGAACAAGGTAATACAGCCCTTTCATTCAGCAGACGTTCATTTGTATGCCTGCTGGGTGCTGGTTCTATGCCTGTGGTGGAGAAACAGACCTGAGTTTGTGTTAGTGTAGCCTACTACGCAAGCACTGCGGCATGAGCTCAGCACTGTGTGGTTGTTGGCAAAGCCCCCAACCCATACTGCAGGGTAACCTCAGATGAGTGAGATGGGGTGAGGGAAACTGCAAGGAAATGGAGAGAGTTCAGTAAAGATAGAGCCAGGCAGGGCTGAAGGTGCAGGATGAAGGATTTTAGTTGGTGGGTTGTATGCCTGTGCTTTATTTGTGTTACATGTGTTTGTTCTGGGAAAGAAATGGGAAATAAAAGTTAGCAGAAACAGGCTGGGGAGATGGCTCAGAGGTTAAGAGCACTGACTGCTCTTACAGAGGACCCGGGTTCAATTCCCAGCACCCACATGGCGGCTATGAACCATCCTTAATTCCATTTCCAGGGGAATCTGAAACCTTCTGACCTCCACGGCATTGCATGATACGGGTGCACTCACTTACTCCTGCAGGCAATACACTCATACACATAAAAAAAAAAAAAGCAGAAACAAAACTGACACATCAGAGGTACACTGCTGACATTTTTTTCATCCCAACATTGGATCTTAATATTAACTGGTAATCTTCCTTTTCTCTTTATGATTGAAAAAAAGTACTTGGAATTAACCAGTCACCCCCAGGTTAGCCAATCCCAGTTCTGGGCAACATCCAAAGCATTGTAGTTAGGGGGCAGCTGAGCAAAATCTCTCTGTGAGGCTTGAGCAGGGTGTTGACTTTGGCACCGTCACTGTCCTAGTGCTTCCTCACAGCCTCTGATCTGCTGCCTGTCAGAATTGACAGCCAGTGTAAACACATGCACATACTGTCTTTTGACCTTCCTGCCCAGCTCAGAGTCAGGGGAACCTGACAGGGTGGCCTTGGTGAGTGCCTAGCTGCATGCACCAGTGAGGCAGCAACTATAACCTTTAGTTTCCAATTTGTTGCATACAACTTTATCAGTAAATACATATCTATGTATCATAACTGCTTGATATTAGTTGTTCAAGGGCTACCATAATTTAAATAATTTATATTTACTGAATAAATTTTTCCTCTCTTTTTTTTCATTTACTATATAGCTCCATGCACATTTTCTGTTTTTTATTTGTGTTTATTTGTTTTAGCCCAAGATAACCTCAAACTGGTCATCCTGCTGCCTTAGCCTCCCAAGTACTAATTATTGTAGGTGTGCACCACTATTGCTAGCAGCTCATGTATTTTCTTATGGCCATATTGCACTGCCCTCATCAACATAGGAGAGTGCTCCAGTAGTGTGTGAACATTCTTTCTAATCTTTTTTAAAAATTTTATTATTTTCATTTTATGTGTATGTGTGTATTGTCTGCATTTATGTAAGTGCACCTGTGTTGTTCAATGCCACAGAGATCAGAAGAGGGTGTTAGAGCTCCTGGACCTGGAGTTATGGATGGTTGTTAGTACCATGTGGGTGCTAGAAACCAAACCAGGGTCCTCTGCAAGAGCAGCCAGTGCTCTTAACCACTGAGCCATCTCTCCAGCCCCATTCTTTCTAATCTTTTCCTTAATGTATAGGGAGAATTCAGATTATGTTGGCTTTAATTTTTTTATTTGGTTACTGGTATAGTTAGACTTTTGTGTGCTGCTTGGCTTACTGTATAAATTAATGGCTTATATTGTTTCTACTTAATTTGTATTAAGGTGCTAATTTTTAAATTTTTATTAATGCTTTGAGAATTTCATAGAATGTGTTTCAATCATATTCAGACCACCTCCCTCATTTCCACCCCACCTTACTACCTCCCCCCAACTTCACGTTCAATATTATTGGTTGTTGTTGTTTTTTTTTCTTTGAAGGCCTATAGACCTGAAATTGCTCTTGGATGTGGGTCCATCCCCTCATACCTGGTCAGCCTACCTGGTGTCACACTCTTAAAGAAAACTGATTCTCCACACCTCTCTCAGAAGCTATCAGTTGCCAACAGTTCCTCAGCTAGGGTTTCTTGCCCACCTCCCCACCAAGCTAGGTTTTTGTCTGACTGGAACTTGAGCAGGACTTGTGCATGCTGTCACAAGTATTGTGGGTTCATATGTGCAACTGCCTGCAGTGTCCAGATAACAAGGTTTCCTTGCATTCAAAGCTTGACGTGGTCAATACCAACTTCATTTCTTCTTGTTTGTTCTATAACTCATGTCTGTAGTGTCTTCAGCAATAGGGTCTTACCATCAAATTCCGGCAGATAATTAAGAGAAATGGTATACCAGTATTGTTTGAGGGTCTCTGGTACTGCCCTGGTCAACAACTCCAAAAGAGGGACTCCATTCCTTGCATTGGGCTTTTTATTTGCCAGCCTATGGTGTCTGGTAGGGGCACTGTCCCACTGCTGTAGGGTAATAGGGTAACTCCATTTAAATTAGAGAGAGAGGAGAGAGAGAGAGAGAGAGAGAGAGAGAGAGGGAGAGGGTTTTTTTGTTTTGTTTTGTTTTTGGTCTTTTTGAGCCAGGGTCTCCCTGTAGCCCCAGCTGTCCTGGAATTTACTATGTAGACCAGGCTGGCCTTGAACTCACAGAGATCCACCTGCCTCTGCCTCCCATCATACCCAGCTTGTGTGTGTACTTTTAAGAAGCTTCTATAGTGATAGGTTTCCATCTGACCTTTTTCAAAAGGCCTTTAGTGTTTGTTTTGCCTCCCCATAGTTCCTGCTCTGCTCTGTCCTCCCATTCCCAGCCCCTTTTAACCCTTCCTAGTCCACTAGTCCCCTTTCTCCCTTTATATCACTGCATTCATAACTTTCCCTGCCCCACCCCCGTGGCTCTGTACTAGTTTTCTGGACTCTGTGGGTTAAAAATTCAAAGCCAGCATCCATTTAAGAGATAGAACGTGCAACGTTTCTCTTTTCTGGGTCTGGGTTACCTCACTCACGATGATTGTTTCTAATTCTATCCATTTACTTATGGATTTCCTTTTTCTTAATGACCGAATAATATTCCACTGTGTAATTGAGCCATACTTTTATTAGCTGTTTATCTGTTTTGATGGACATCTAGGTTATTTCCATTTCCTGACTGTTGTGAGTAGAGCAGCAATGAATATGGATGAGTGCGTATCTCTGTTAGCATATAGAATCCCCTGGGAACATGCCCAAGAGTAGTATGGCTGGATCATGGAGCAGATCTGTTTTTAGCTTTCTGAAAAACCTCCATATTGATTTCTGGAGTGGGTACACCAGTTTGTACTCCCACTAGCAGTAAGTGTTGCCCTTTCCCCACATCCTCTCCAGCATTTTAAATTTGCATTTCCCTAATAGTTAAAGATGTTGAACATTCAAAAAAGTATTTCCCAGCATTTCATCTTTTGAGAACTCTGTTTAGTTCCCTGCCCCAATTTTTTTTTAATTTTTAATTAAAATTTTTTATGTATATGAATGTTTTGCCTACATATATGTTAGTGCATCACATGTGTGTAATGCTTAGGGGGACAGGAGAGGGTGTCAGGTCCCCTGCAACTGTAGTTAAAAGTGGTTATGAACTGCCATGTAGGTGCTGGGAACTGAACCCTGGTCCTCTGCAAGAGCAGCCAGTGCTGAGCCATCTCTCTAGCACCTCCTGCCCATTGTACCAATTTTTAACTGGATTGCTCATTTTTTTGATGTTTAATTTTTTTAGTTGTTTGTGTATTTTAGATATTAACCTTCTATCAGAGGTATAGCCAGTAAAGATTCTTTTCCCATTTTGTGGGCTACTTCTTTATTCAAATAATGGTATCCTTTGTGTACAGAAGCTTTTTAGTTTCTTGAGGTTATACTTACTAATTGTTGGTCTTGATGGCTGTGCTTTTAGAGTTCTGTTCAGAAAGTCCTATGCCTATACATTTCTGTGTATTTCCTTTCTCTTCTATCAGATTTCAAGTATCACGTCTTATGTTGAAGTCCTTGATCCATTTGGAACTGAGTTTTGAGCAAGGTAAGAAGATAACGATCTAATTTCATTTCTCTACATGTAGCTATGCAGTTTGACCAGCACCATTTGTTGAATATGCTGTCTTTTCTTCAGTGTGTATTTGTGGCCTCTTTGTTAGAAATCAGGGGGCTATAAGTTCATGGGCTTCAATCTGGGGCCTCAGTTCTGTTCCATTGATCAGTGTGTCTCTTTTTATGCCAGTTCCATGCTGTTTATATTACTATAGCTCTGTAGTATAATTTAACTTCAGGGATAGTAAGTAGTTCCTCTAGCAGTTTTATTATTCAGGATTGTTTGGGCTTTCCTGTTTTGTGTGTTTGTATATATTTTCATATGAAATTTGAGGTTGCTTTTTTCAGTTTCTGTGAAGAATGGTGTTGGAATTTTAATGAGTGTTGTGTTGAATCTCTTAATTATTTTTGGTAGAATGGCCATTTTCACAATATTAATCCTAATATTGATTCTAATAATAATTCATGAGCATCGTTCCATCTTCTGGTGTCTTCTTTTTTCTTCCTTCAAAGTATTAAAGTTTTGTTTTGGTTTTATTTTGAAAACCAGATTTGGTGATTACAAAATATATAAAATTAGATATAATACATGAATGTGTCTAGCCTTACATTTT